AGCTTTATTAGGATCATGTTATCTTTCCTTAAAATCTGGTTAGATGGATAATATCATAACCTATTTTTTTTTTACTCTTTACTTCTGTTGAAACAGGCTTCACTGTATAAATAGGAGAGGATGAGAGCCCAGAGGTAACAGAACAGCTTCAGGTTATCGAAATAACAATGTTAAGGAAACTCTTATCTCAGTCATGCATAAATATGCAGTGATATGGCAGAAGACACCAGAGCAGATGCAGAGAGCCATTTTGTGAATGGATTGGATTATTTAATACATTACCTTACTGTGGAGGAAGGATTGTAAAAAAAAAAATGCCTTTGAGACAGTTTCTTAGCTTTTTAATTGTTGTTTCTTTCTAGTGGTCTTTGTAAGAGTGTAGAAGCATTCCTTCTTTGATAATGTTAAATTTGTAAGTTTCAGGTGACATGTGAAACCTTTTTTAAGATTTTTTCTCAAAAGTTTTGAAAAGCTATTAGCCAGGATCATGGTGTAATAAGACATAACGTTTTTTTCCTTTAAAAAAATTTAAGTGCGTGTGTAGAGTTAAGAAGCTGTTGTACATTTATGATTTAATAAAATAATTCTAAAGGAAATTGTGTAATTATAGACTTTTTATTTTAAATAAGTTAAGGAGTGGGTAGTATAATTAAGGTCCATTGCAAAGCTGTTGTTGTATTTGTGTAAGATAAATGCCGGTCAGATATAAGTGTGTTGTCTGCAATTCATCAGGATTATCTAGATAACTTAAGGGATATCTCTGCAAGGAGAAACACCTTTTTAGATCTTTTAGATGCTGCTTCTTCAATGCAAGGAAAGGAAATAACCCCAGCGAGTTACTCTTCAGGGATACAGGTCTAGTACAAGAGAACTCTTGACGGCTACTAAGTTCAGCCAGTCTTAAGAAACTGTGCTGTTTCTACAAAACTTTAACTACAGTAGTTTATAAGGATGCCAACGAAAGCTGAGGGTGTAGAGCAAAATAGTTCTAAGCTTCAGTTAAACTTCTTTAGGTAAGATCTTATTTACTTTTCCTTTCTTAATTTTCCTCCCCAAAAGATAAACTAATACTCTCTCCAATGGTCTTTCAGTATAGTGGTTCTTATGTAGTTTAACATAGCTATAAATTGAGTTTAACAATTATAAACTCAAGAGAATTAATTTTATAAACCCTGTTTTCCAATCTGTCATTTACTTAAATTATTTTGGTTTTTTCCCTTTTTTCCTTCTTTCCCACCCCTTTCCCCCCCCCTCTATGAAGATTTAGGTACTTAACATATCATTTTTTTCCCTGCTGGAATTTTAGCATTGATATGAGCCATGGACAAGTATATTCTGCTGCCACAAAGACTGTAAAGTGCTTCATTTCAACAGCTGAGGCAAGCCAAGTGATCATTAATAAAGCTTTTCTTGGTTCCTTCAGTGGTGTTGGTAGTAAAATGGTAGGTAAAAGTTAGGCTGCAAGTTCAATAAATCATGACATTTCCCATCGTAACACCCTTGTGTATTCACTTTTCTTGGATGGAGCATTTTGAGCAAACTAGGGGTTTAATTAAAAATAAAGACATTTGTTCTTCTGTTACTTGGTAATGGTATTAACTTTACATGTTTTAATCAGCATCAGGCTAAGGAGAGAAGGTAGGTAGGGCAAAATTATTTTCAGATAATTTATACTTGGGAATAAAGTTTTGTCTTGTCTACGTTATTTAAGTCCTGTGTCCAACATGAAATATTTTTGAGTTTAAATGTGCTATCTCCTTCCCAAACCCCTACCCCTGTAGGTGAGATATAGGTTGGCTGCCGAAATTCATTTTTTAAATGTCATCAATTTTGACTGCCTGGCTTTATTGCCCTTTCAGGAATGTGCTAATCAGGGCATATTCTTTATGCACCAGTGAGTCTTCTTTGTTCCTAAGACCACCACTGAAGTTATTTAGGTTCTTTGGACAAACATGATAAACTTCTTCAGATACTTTTTTTTTCCTTTGGCAGGAAGGTGTCTTGCTGCAGGTAACTAATGAAGAAGTGGTCAACCACAGAGTCTTCAAGAAATAAGAAATTCTGTACCATCTGAAAGTAGTTCTTGTTGGTGCCTTCATTTTAAAAAAAAGCACTCTTAAGATTTAAAGGGCAATGTTTTCTGATAAAACACAAACTTCATTTAGTCCAGGTTCTTATATAAAACAACTACAAATTGAGCATTGTTTGTAAGAGTAACATCAAATTGGCTAGAGATCATGTATCATGTTTTCAGTTAGGTTTTGTGAGTAGACAGATTAAAAATTCTATTTTCAATATACAGTTTATAAAATAAACATTTTGTATCCAAATACTTGGTGTAATGTTTGCACATACAATGTGTGAATCTTGTTTTATAAACATAACAGTTGTCTGTAGGATTGCTGTCCTCTAGATTTTTGAAGCAGTTTCATAAAGCTATGCATATTAGCATTTTTCCTTAAAATTAACCAAATAATTGAGAACAGCATTGTGGACATTATTGGCTGTCCCTAATAAAATGCCATTCTTTATACACTATATCCAGCGTTTGAATACTGCTATAATTTTCTGGCTTTATCTTGTATATTTTAATAGTGCTGGTGGTGGGTTAAAATCATGAATTTTAACCAGCTACAGTGATCCAACATAATGCAAAAAGCACTGAGGAAATTTGTTACACTGGTTTTTGAAATGTCAGTGACCTTTTTATTCATGGTTGTAAACTTTTTAAAGGTTTTAACATGCACAAAAAATAACTGACTTCGATGTTACGCTAAGATGGGAAGAAAGTAGTAGCATTAAGAATGACTTGTTCTAATTAATTTCTTTTGGTTTGGGTAATAATGCTTCTCAGGTAAGTTTACAGCTAACAAGATGAACTGTTTTCTTTACCTACATCAAATGCAGATTTGGGATGCTTTATTTGGGAAAAAACTAGGACTTAAAATACAGCTCTACAAAAAAGTTGCACATTATAAGGAAGATCATGTTGGAACAATCAAAATACACCATGAATCTTAACCCATACAAATTGTGGGACAGTGAGCAATGCATTTCAGGCCAAAATAAAGTGGTTCATCAAAATATGCCATTAAACACATCTTTTAGATGTAATTGAAGGTAGTTTTGCTCGGAATCCCTGGAGACTTCAGATGGAAACAAGTAGCTGGCTGATTTTACAAGTAACATTGATACTTGGGTTTTAGAATTTTATTTCCTGGAAATAGTTTGAATTAATGGCTCGAGTATAGTCAAGGAAAAATGGAATTCTCATCCAAAGTGACCTAACAAGATTGGGAAATTGGTGTTGCCTATGCCTACCTTACAGTGAGCTGCCAAAGAACAAAGCCAATGTTTAGATTATAATTGCTGCACACTTGGGAAGATTTCACACTTCATTACCAAGGGGTAAAATACCAGTATGTTGAAGGCCGGCTCCAGTATAGGGTTGCTTTTTGTGAAGGTTTTGGGAAACCTGCATTAAGGTTTTTACTGCCTGATCCATGCAAATGATTGGATTTTCTGAGAAAGATCCTGTAAGTGCACAAATGATTAAAAAGAAAACGTCCTATTAGGTCATTGCTGTTGCTACTAGTACTGTTGCCAATTTGTATAGGTGGTTCTAGTAGTTGGTAAGTGGATCCAAAAGTCCTGCAAAACATGGGTTTGCGTCTGACCTAGCAAATTTATTCAAGATGATTGTCATTGGGGTTTCCATAGGTTGATGCTTTGCTCTGGGGTTTAGATCTGGAGATGGATAGAATGCTGGGAACCTGGAGCCAAATGTAAGAACGCAACTGCATTTCAATCTAAGCATGCTGAACTGACAGTGCCGCCTGTATATACAATATTGCCTTCTGTAGATCAGTCAAGTGATTGGTTTAGATTTTACTTGAACAAATACAGGAATTTCAAAATTTAGTTTCGGACACGAAATTTTAGTTACGGGTTACATTTAGATTCCTCATGTTCCTACCCATTACTATACTCAGGGGCTCAGTGATGTAAGTTGTCTTGCTGAGATGAATAATTGCAGAATTTAGATAATGGTTCGCTTTAACAGCAATCGGAAACAATTCAATTCCAAAGATTTGGAGCTGGCCATGCCACCCTTCCGTGGTAAAAATTTGCATGCTATTTTATAGCTAGTGAGTGCCAGTTTTGAGCCTGGTTTAGATCCCACTGCTGATTTTTCGTGGATGTTAAGATTTCAAGTGCCTTTGAATCCAATGTGGGGTTTCTTGTCACCTGAAAAGTGATCATAGGTAAGCAGCCTACAAAGAGAACATTGTTGGGTGCTGAAAATCGGGTTTTGAGCCCTAAGACCACTACATTCTTGGACAGCTGACGCTTGGTTTTGATTTCCTACCAGGGCTTGGGGATGCTGTCTGCTAAGTGAGCATAATGTAATTAGGCTTACACTTCTACCCAAAGGTGGCAGTTTGAAACTGAATACCAGGTTAGGACTGTGGTTAAGGAAGTTCCTTAGGAAGAGAACACCTGGCAACTTTCAAAGTAAAAAATTAACGAACTGATGTGTGGAACATTTCCCGGGAAAAAATACAGGTATTTGAACAGCTAGGGCTTGACATTCATACTTTAGTCTTAATTCTAAAACCTAGGTTGGTTACAAGAACATTTATGTTAAGTTTGTTCATTTATAGGATTAGTGGCTTCATTTTAAATTCGCTATGTCTAGTTTATTAAATTCCTGTTTAGTGCCCATTGGCTATATTTTTGGTGGTGAAACAATTTAGATCTGGGCCATCCATCCCTACAGGTTGGTGACCACGGGCATCACACCTAATTAAAAAATTTATGCATGCATACAGAACTGGGGTGTAGGCTGGAGTGAGAGGATTCACCAGACACGGGAGGAAATCGGGCAGATCTAAGATCTACTGAAATAACACCGCAGGGGAGCAGGGAGGCTGAAACGGGAGAGGTCTGCTGGCACCTTGGAGGGTGGGGAATTCCAAGTAGTGCTGTAGTGGCTGGAGTAGTAGCTTGATTGTGTTGTGTTTTTAATCCCTGTGCCACCAGGGAGCCCCCTATATCTAATGAATTCTAGTATTTAACGAGCACCCGTTTTCTTCACCTTGTTTTACAAGGTTGGCCCTTCTGTGCCAGGGGATTTACTGTATCAGTTTTAACATTGACAACCAATTTGCAAACTTCTAAGAATCACTATGCTGCTAAATTCACTAGATACCTTCTTATTGAGTATTCTGGAGGAAAAATACCTAAGGCAAATTTCCTTTAATTTTCTATATAAAAGGGAAGTTTTTAATGCACCCAAATATAAAAATTTATTTCCACAGGTATAAGTTAAACACTCAAATTGTACTAAAATAATGAAAAGTTAACTATTTTCAGTGCTAACAAATGAAAACATGAAGGCTGCTTTGCATTCAAGTCAAAACATTTTAAAATACATCCAGTGTTTTTGATGCGACCATCTTACTAGAAAATGACTAAGTGGTAGTCACATGTCTTCATGTCGCCCTAATTGTACATATTTATGGTCCTTTAATATGATGCAGGACTTCATGAAAAGTGGCTTTCCCCAGATTTCCACAGATCTGCTCTTGGAGTCCTACTAAACATTTGTCCATACAAGCTTTAAAAAGTAGCTTTAACGGAGTAATTCAAGTACCAGTACTTAAAAAAGATGAGCTAAACTTTGAAACAGTTACAATGGTTTATGGTGGACCCATATATCTGTGTCTGAACTTGATGAGTTTTAGTGGGATTCACTTTCATTTACTTCTCTCACTTTTTCTCTTTCCCTTTTGGTTTTCCTTTTTGTGGCTTGAAGTCACCATTTCCTTGGGTACAACCAAAACACTTCCATCATGGCTGCACTGGAGAGCATAATGATTTGGATTGACTGGCCTCCCTTCATCATCTCTTAACTTACTAAAAACATCATGATAAAGATCATGCAATTTCTGTTTCATTATGTTAATAGCTTTGTTACACTGGGCTCGCTCTCTTTTAAGGGATTCCTTCTTTGCTTGCAAGTTACATACATCATCTTCTAGGTTCAAAATTATGTCCAGTTTACGCTTACGGCAGTTTTGAGCAGCAACTTTATTTTTCCCTCTTCTTCTGATGTCACGGATCAGGGACACTTGTAAATCTGTCAGATAATACCTGCTTAGCATGCTGTTGAAAGACTCAACAGGCATGCGAACAATTTCATCTACTGTGAAAGGGATATGCAGAGCTTTAGCACGTCGTTCATCGCGGCTTAAATTTTGGTCCGTGTCATTGAGATACCTGCTCCTTGCTTTCTGTGACTTCCCAGGCCATGAGAAAGATTCAGAAGTGGATTCTACTGTACTTGGCTGTAAGTGGTAAGTATGGTTATGAAATATGTGTTGAAATGCAACATCCTCGTGAAAACCAGAATCACTCCTGTGTTCCAGGTGACAAAGCTTATTGGGCTCTGGGTAATAGCCACCTACAGCGCCTTCTAAGTCATGGTAGGAAACAGATTCAAGGTCACTACCAAAATCTATAGCTCCTTCAGGCACAGAATGAGAAGAATTTGACTTTGTGATAGATGTGCTGTTGTGGCTTGAATTTAAGGAAAGTCCAGAATCAGAATCCGGTTCTTCAAAAAGCTTGGAAATTGCCATTGGATCAAAACCTTCTTCTGTGGCCAGAGACATTAAGTTTATCTCATCAAATATGTTTATATCAAGATTATATAGAAGGTCTTGGCTTGTTAGATTCCTCATCTGGTTGTCAACAAATGGAAGAAGTCCTGTCAAGTTAGTTCCAGGAAGGGTCTGTTCAGAATCACTGGTTTGGGGATTTAACTGCAGAAATGGTTCTTGTTGTGAAGGTCTTGATACTGGATCTCTTCTAAATGTGTTGTCTGTTGGACATAGCAACATGGCCTCATGGAGATCCACATCTTGACTTATAGCTTGGCTAAAATTTATACCATAATGTGCTGAAGAATTCATGCAATCATTGATACCGCCTAGAAGAGGAATATCTCCCAATGAGATACCCTAAAAGGGGAAAGGAAAAAAGCACTTTAAATATACTCAGCTATTTCAGTAGCTGTAGATCATTAGTACCTAATACTTTTCTCATTTTTCCTCTGTATGAATAGGAGGATATAGTTTTCGCCAGATAACAAGCAAAACATGGTGACATGAGCACAAGTCAGAATATGTTATACTTGGGAGAGTGTGGGAATTATTTTCTGAACATCATGAAAATATCAAGTTTGATTGTAGAAAAACTGGTTTTGTTTAATCTTATCAGATGCAACCCTCATCCTAGTTGTTGTTAATCTAAAGACACATCATGGAGGGTCATGAATAATAGCTATAATGAAATGCTAACAGAACTAAAGCTTATGCCTTAGATTTTCAAATGCTTACTGCCATTTTGATTCATGCATTACATAAAATTGACTTAAGAGTAACAGTTCTCACAAAGTAATTCTACCTTTTTGTGCGGTAGGTAGTGTTACATAATTACTTTAAACTGCTATGTCATCCAAGTAATGAGGTTTTATTTATTCACAGAGAGGTCAGTGTAGATATTCTCCTGCAAGGATAAAGATCCAACATCCCAATTACCTCCAGTGAATTTTCAGGTTGTGATGAAAGCAACTGAAATAAGTCTTCCAGAGAGAAAGATGTGTCTGTCCCATTTATATGTCTCTGTAGAAAAACAAAAGGGAAATAATTCCTTTAAAAGTTTTCTGGAGGAAAAAAAAAGCTTTCTGGAGCTCTAAGTTTAAGCTTGAAATGATTGCTAGTTCTTCCATGCTGAATTCTCATCCCCATTTGGAATTTTTAGGTTATATTCCTTTTTTTAGTAGTTTGGGTTTTTTTTTAAAGATTTATTTATTTATACATACAGAACTGGCGTACAGGCCAGAGGTGCAGGGGCAGTTAGAGGATTCACCAGAGACAGAATGGGGAGCAGAACAGGCAGATAGATGGAGTACACTGCTGAGGGAAGCAGCCAGTGGGACAGGAGAGGTCTGCAGGCTATGTGGATGGGGGGGCGGGGGGGAGGAGGGGGAGAATCTAGCTCCTACTCAAGTGGCTTTAGCTTCTTAGTGCTGTGCTTTGACCTGCTGTGCCATCAGGGAGGGCCAGTAGTTAATTTTTAATAGCTTAATAGCCTTCCTTAACATCTTTCCTTTAGTTTCAAACTCATCATTTCTGGCCTGTCCTTCCTATAATTTTTGGCTACTATTCTTGGCTCTACCTTAGTTTGACCCTATAAAATGGTTTCAAGGTTATGTAATTCTTAGGGTCACTATGCATTTATTTAGATTTATCAAAACATTTGGCCAAACACTTTACCCATCTGTTTCATCTCCTGTCTTCAGGGTTTAGTTTCATACTGAAGTAACTCCTTTGACAGCTGTTTTTAGAGAGGACCCACAAGTAGTAAGCTTTCATTTCTGTAAACTGAAATTATTTTGCCTCCATACTTAAAATGATAGTTTTTCTGGTAAGAATACCAGGCTTGCTTACTTACTGTTTTCCCTCAGTATTTTTGTCTTCTGGCATTTATTGACAGGTTTGCTGTTAATCTGTCATTTTGCAGCTAATCTTCTTCAACTAATGAAGATTTCTGCCTGCCTCCATCTTTGTCCTGCCATTTCATTTTGTCTAATTTTTTTTTTATCAAATCTTCTGGATTCTAAACATCTATTTAAACCATAAAATATAAAATGTTTTGTCACAAGCTCTTTGAATATTGCTGTTGCTCTCTACTTTCTGGTGTCTCCTGGGACTCATCAGAAGTAAATCAGATTTTCTCATCCTTTCCTGGCTTAAACTTTTTAAAGATGAGCGCATGCTTTGAGCCCATGCTTTGTTTTGGAGTTTTGTCTGTAGGAAGAAATTTACGTTTTTCTCTGCAAGGACCAGTTTATATTTTCTATACCTACCTTGCTTTCTTTCTTGGCTGAGGATTCCTGATTGTGAGAGTGTGGAATACCAAATTTTATATCTGGCTTTGGCACCCTGTTGGGGTTCTGATTTTACTGGGTGGATAGAATTATCTTAGTTTCCATATTCTGAACAGAAGTTTTTAAACATTCTAAGCATGTAAACCTCCCCTCAAGCATGGGTTTCAGACCTAATTTTCCACCTACTGAATCCCATTTTCTGTTACGACATCTGAATCAAATTCCTCTTTGAGGTCTTCAACTTTGATGATTATCTTGAATCTGGTTTTGAGTTTCCTGTTTCTTGTGAATTGCATAGTTTCGCTATACAATTAAATATAGAAACCATTATATTTCCTCCCGAATTCTACTTGTGGTATTTTATGGGAGTTATCTTTGTACATTAGCAAGTTCACATTGCTGATTCACATGGTAGGCATCACTCCCAACCATTTTTACTTTGTTTCTGTTGCTTATCAGTCAGACTGAGTCTCTTCTTCCATATATTTTGAGAACTATGGAACCTTGTTTTCAAGGTTCATAATTAATAAGCAAGACTTTCTATTTTCTACAGGACTATTTAAGCTAAACTGGTAGGTAAGATTTCTTTCTTGGGCAAATTATACATTCCTAGTGGATAGAGGACTGCTTCATCAATTGGCTTGTTAACTGAAAATGACTCCTACTTAGGAAATTTTTAAAAAATGATTTCTTAATGTCTCCATCTTTTTTAAGAAAATATGTATTTTTTATTATATTGGTTTATTTTTACATATTTTTGTGCATTTTTCCATCTCAGTTGCAATCCCCTTGTATTTTTTTATTTTATAATATTTTATTTTTACGTCATTTTATGCCTTTTCCCATCACAGTTGTAATCCCTGTGGACTTCCCATCACCAATTCACCCTGTGCCTTCACCATGGTCCCATGCACTCCCCCCACTCCCCATTTTTGATCCCATTCTCCACTGCACCCCCATAAAATGTCTCTGGTATACAGTTGTTCATTATTTCTATTCCCTCCCCCCCCCCCGCCCTCCTTTATGCTCCTGCTGTGAGTGAAACCATCTGGTATTTTTGCAGGAAATAAAGCTTAACATAGAACATAGATATCAGGGTATGATAAAATGAATTATAGACTGGTCCCTCTGTCTAGGCAAGCATATTTCATTAATTTTTTTTAACTGTCCCCTCAATGCCTTGGAGTTGTAGGCTGCATGGCAAACCCCTACCAATCCAGCCCTCTAACAGGACCCACAGGAGACAAAAGCAAGAGATGGAGAGGTAGGAGGAGCGAAAGACAATGGCTTCTGCCAAGTCTTGTTGGTTTCAGCTCTCCAGAGGCTGTTTCTTCCCAGGTACCATTCTATATTGATGGTGGTGGTGAGGGCCTTCCTATTCCTTGGTATTTTCCTTAAACCTACCTTCACCTCTTCTAAAACAGGAGAAAAAAAAAAGCCCTCAAAATCTCGTGTGCCTTTTATTTGAGGGCTAACTGTGGACAGCATCCTGTTTGAAATCATTATGTAACACAACTCTTGTGACACACTTAAAGTATATAGGACAATTTGAGACTTGGTGGTCATAGTGCTTACTAAGTTCTCCTCAAAAATCTTAATTGCCTTATGGTTTTGTTCAATGAGGCACACATTCTACACAAAAATAGACAGGTGAGCCATTCTTACAATTTGCCTTATGATAGTTCATATTTCAAGTTTAATTTAGACTGCCAGGAAGTTGTCAGTTTTTTGTTTTTTGTTTTAAGTCAAACCAGTCTTTCTGAATCTTCAAACACAACCCCATTTGAAACAATAACTCACTGCATACTGTACAGAAACCAGAGTGTTCACAGAGTCCGTGGGCACACTTAACCTTAAAAGACAAAATATTAACATGAACTCAAATAATCTTCAGTGAGAAGAAAATGTCTTCAGACTAAACCTACACACAATTTATTCTTCAACAGTGGCTAACAGTCTCTATGTCTACTCTTGCAGTGAGTCCACAGAGAAGCCACTGTTACGGAGTACATTATGTCAGTTTACCCCAAATATTCTTCCAGGCTAGTCGTCCAAAAGGATAGAAATAAAATCCAGTGATCCACTATGGTAATAATCTACTCAACTTTGTTTTGTTTGAACACAAATAGAGCACCTACTAAGATTTCAGACAAGAATGGCTGGAAATATTGTCAAAAGTGCATACATGAAAGGTATGATTCGTAGTATGTAAAGATGTATAAATACTAACTAAACAAGACTGACTGAGGTACCAACTAAGTGGACCCTGATAATTAAAAATGAAGGCACAAATAAATGCCTTTGCTTTGAATGATTGAAATGTGTTTCTGGGATGTTTTGCCCAAATTTATATTTATCCTAAGTTATATTTCAAATTCTCCAAGACCGTTTCCTACTTTATTTCCTCGTTAGTACTAAATGAGTACCTACCATGTATCTAGCAGTTAGTTACTGTAGGTAAGGAAAGGAAACATTTTTTTTTGGGGATCCCTGTGAAGACTTGAGACCAAGCAAACCCCAGAGAAAATAGCTTATATAATGAAGTGGTAGAGAAAGTGCTAAAAAATATCTTCTCCCTCAAAAAGGTGACTGTGAGGCACTTGAAAAAGTGGGCTGGAATGTCTCCTTCAAAAGAAACATTTTTTCCCTCCCAGTATTTTGCTAATATTAACAGTGACATACAGTGTGTGTGCATGTACATGAATGCACACAAGGGGCTGGTGGCCAAGCCAAACCAAGGGGACATGAACTCTGAGGAACACATCAGAACAAGAGTCCAGACCTGGACTGAGAAGCTGCTTCTAGGCAAGTATCTGGACTGAAGTACAGGCTTCCAGCATCAGTTGCTGGTAGGCCAGAATGTGGGTGAGAGTGCCACCTAAGGTGGTGATTCAGCCTTTGTCTTCGGTCAAGGGATGGGCAGGTGAAAGATCCCAGCATGAGGGCTAGGGCGTCACCAAAGAACCTATGAAATTAAAGTGCCCATCAGACAAAGAAGTCATTTAAATGTGTCCTGTGTTTGAGGAAAACCAATGGCAACTTGATGCTAGTCAGGTTAATTCCTCTCCTGAACCCTTACCACCCCAACTCTCCCTAGCCAGTCCCAGAGAAGACAGTCTAACAAGTGTGGAAGAGAGCTGGGAAGATGGAGAAGCAAGACACGCACACACACATACACACTCTCTCTCCCTCTTCCTGTCAGCCAGGCTCTGTGGAGGGAAGAAAGGAAAAGCTGAACTTTAATTCAGAATTTTTTAATTAGATCAGTCAGTTAGGGAGGGTGATGTGCCTGTAGCCCTCTGGCTCATTCTTCAGAACCTGATCACCTGGCTGTCTCAGCAGGTGGCTGATTGAGGATGCCTGGCTTAAGGGGTGCAAGTCACCTCATTTTATCCCTTGCCATGGAAAATACAACAAAACCTTGCAACTTCCTAGAGGTATGTGTGGGAATGTTTATGATTTTAAAAAAGTATTTTCAGATGTCCAATTGGCTGTATAGTAGAGCACACTTATATGCAAAATGTATTCTCAACACAAATTGTCAAAGCGATAAAGTCAACAACAAAGCCAAAGTAGTAAGGCTGAGATACTCTGACACGCTTACCTCGTTTCTAGATTCCCACTCAGGTCTATCTGCCACTTGAGGTTCATCTTCTTTCTTCTGCTGTAGTGGCTCCTCCTTTGAAACTGAAATCTTTTGCTCATTTTCCTCATTCTGAGAACTGAGGTCCAAAACTTCAGGTCTCTCTCTTAGTATCTCTATTTCCTATAAAAAGTACCCCAAAAACATTCTATGTAGAACATGTATTTCATCAAATATGTCAAACAACTTTTAAATCTGTATTGTGTTTCTTGATTACAAAACCCACAAGTTAAAACGCTAAGGCTGGCATTTCATTATTTCAGTATCAAAGAAACATTTAATTCTGAAACAAAGGTCTATTTTGTGTCCTGTCCCTCCTTAAGAACTCACTCTGACACAGGCTATTTTAGTCTGCATATTTACATTATATGCCTATATAAAGGTTCTGCATTAAAAGTACTTACAAATTTGATCAGATGTGAAAGACCAATGTTGCTAGCTGGCAGTTTTCACTTAGCTTTCTGCTGAAAACATATCAAACAGCTAACTTGGAAGCAAATACTGACCAAATATACACAGAAAAATCTGTAAAGTATTATTGAAAAATAATAAGTGTGGTTCTCTGGAGGATGGGGCAGATTTGGGTAGAGTGGGTATAAAGAGTTGACTTCACTTGTACACATTTCTGTAATACTGAATAGTCTATAAAATGTGTTCTTTGTACAATCAGGAAAAACACAAACATGCTTTATTTTACAAAAATAAAGTTAAAGTTTAAACAAATAGCTTCATAGATATTTTCAACTATGCTTATTTACCCAGGTGATGAGTCCTTCCATCTCTAATTTACTTGATAATCTTTTGATTTACTTTAACTGTTGAGTCTTAATGAAAAGGGTAGAGAATGTCTTCTAAACCTTCAAATAGTTACCAATCTATATATACCCTATATACTGATACTTTTAATGATAGTAAAAAATCTGTATAACCGTTCCCCATCCAACATCAAAGCTTCTCAAACACAAAGGCTCTATTTTGAATTTTTCTTTTCCAGCAACATAGCACAATGGACTTGCTCAAGGACAGCCCTGACCCCGCCCCTCTAGCACAGAAATGTTAACACTACACAACAACAAACAAAGGTCAAAGTAAGGCAATCCATAGGTGCAAGAAGCAAGCAGAGAAATCAATGCAAGTATGGAAAAGCCCTTTGCACTGGTAGTGGCTTGGATTTCTTGCCACTGGCGACCCAGTGCGTCACATTCCCCCTAGTCTCTCCACCAGCTGCACAGCATTGGGGGGGGAGGGGGGTGCTGTGCTCAAGGTCATTGCTTCTGCTCCTCCTTCCATGTCAGCATGTGTTTCCTATCTACTGGGTGATTCCCACTAGTATACACAGATGATGCATCCCCCATCTTTAAAAATCCCTCCTCTAGTTCCACATTACTCTTTAGATCTTACTCTAGTTTTCTTGTTTCCTTTTAGAGTGGAAAAAGGGTGTGGAAGGAGGTGCAGAAGCAATGACCTTGAGCACAGGAGCTCCCCGTGATGGGCTGTGCCGCAGGTGGAGAGACAGAGGGGGAATGTGATCCACTGGATCACCAGAGGCAAGAAAACCAAGCTGCTACTAGCGCATGGGCTTCTTTTTTTCCCACACTTGCTTTGATTTCTTTGCTTACTTCTTGAACCATTGGAGAACCTCCAAAGAGCCACTTGGATGCTCCTGAAGTTGTCCAATGGGAACTCTGTCCCGCCACTCCACGGATGCAACTGATCAGGGTCTCCTAAACTGACAGTTCTCCCTCCTCCTTTTACTTGACCTGCTACCAAGATGGATCTCAGTCACTTTCCCTCAGAGACAGGCTCTTCACCTGGCATCCACCTCTAGTCTCTGCCTCACTGACCTCCCATCCCTACTTAACCTTCATCTTTGCCACCACTAACACCTCAAGCGGCTCAGTGGCTTTTATCTGCTGTTCCTTCTGCCAGGAGGCTTTCCTTGGCCCCAACACATCCACAGTCCTCATCACCAGGCTTCCCTATTCAAATACCACTATTCAGTTCTCCATTTTAACCACGCTCCATTAACAAAAACACCTCCCATCAACATCTAGCTCCCTAGTCTTTCTTTATTTTTTCCCACAGCACTTAGCACCAGTTGATATATTATCAGATTTATTTGCTGGCTGTCTGTCTGCTGGGTTTCTGCAGTCTGTTAACTGCCTGCCCCAGAGTCTAGCACATAATAGAGCCTCCTTCACTGACCAGATGAAATCCTAGACATAACATCGTAAGACTTCGGTAGAGACACATCTTGTGATGGGTGGTGTCTCGCTTTCCCCTACATTTATTAGCACAACATGGATTGCTATCTAAGTACCGGGAAGGAAAAGTGACTAGTCACTGCTCTCCTAACCTCTATCTTTTGCCAAGGCTTCTTTTGTTAAACTTGAAAATGAACAAATATAAAATTCTGGATTCATGATCTACTTTATGATAGTAAAAGCTCTCTGTATACTTTTAGAACTAAGAAGCAAGAGCTCCTTACTTAATCTGTAATATGTGAGCTAATGGTGACTACAAAGAGAAGAAGGTGACTCTACCAGGAGAAACCTGGCAGGTGCCATCTTCAGCAATAGTCAAAGCTACCCTAACTCAGACAGAGCATAAGGTGCTTCTTGACGATACAAAGACACATGACCATGTCTGTGACAGTTCTGCCCAAGGCCATAATCCAGATGTAATCTGAGAAAACATAAATAATCTTGGGTGACTCTTCTAAAATCTAAAGGTCAAGAAATACCAAGAATGATGAACTTTTCCAAATTTAAGGTGACTAAAAAGATTAACAACTGAATATGTGATTGTGGGTTAGATGCTGACTAGGGGAAAAAGAAGTTACACAGGACATTACTGGGGCAACAAATAAAATTTGGATATGGACAGAGGATTATATAATAGTCTTTGATCATGATAAACTATCTGATTTTGCTAAATGATTACAAAAAATCATAGTTCTTGGCAAATATATGCTAAAATACACTGGGGACATGATGGCTTCTATTCACTCTTAAATGTTTCCAAACCAGAAAAATTACATATGTAGATAAGACAACTGGTACAAAATACAAATAAAAGATAAATGTTGGTAAAAGCTGTATACTATTCGTATCACTTTTGAAAATTCTGAACTTTATCTAAAAACCCATACATAACAAAACTGCATTGGCCAAGGGAATAGCAAAGGGGGTGTCCAGAAGAACTATTCCACTAAAGTTTCTTTTAATCCGTATTTTCTGCCCAAAGTGCACAGTCATACAGTTGCTTCAGTAACTATTTTCACCTGTTCCTTTCCAAAATTTCAGTTTCCTATTTGGTTTTCTTGTGTCCCTGCTTTGGTTATGCTTCAGAAATAATGCGATCGCTGAGCTGACAGAAAATGCTCCTGTGCTGTACCCCCAACACTTCCACTAACACTTCTTCACTTCCTACATCTGATCTGTGGGTTTTCCACACACTGAGTAATTTTGTGACACCAGCTCGGTGTCACTGTACATGGAGTGTTAATTCTGACACTGTCTACACCTGGAGATAAGGTTCGTTCCCGGAGGCTCAAGGTCAGTCTTGCAAACATGTCTTCTTCCCTGCTGCAGCTGTTAGGGGCACGTTCAGTTTGTTACCTGTGCTTCCCACCAACAGCTACAAATCAGAGGGTTCCCACAACCCTTCTTCACATTCAACTACTTTGGAAGAGCAGCTCACAATTCTTAAAGGAAAACATTTTACTGACTAGATGACTGGTTTGTTATAGATGACTACAACACAGCAGTATAGAACAAGAAATGTGGGAAGATGAAAGGCTTCCTTGTCAACTCTGGCTTCCGGTACCTCCAACAAGCAAACCCGCCTGGAAACTCTCTGAATGCCCTCCTTTTAGGGTCTTCTGAAGATAACGTTACATAGACATGGTCGATCAATCACTGGCCGGAAGTGATTCAAATTGAGCTCCAGTTCTCCCTGCTATCAGGTATAGCTAACATTAAAAAGATTTATTTTTATTTATGCATACAAGAACTGGGGGATAGGCTAAATGTAGGGGTGTGTGTGTGTGTGTGTGTGTGTGTGTGTGATTCACCAGAGACAGTGGGGAACAGAACAGACAGATCCACTGAAATACACTGCTGAGGGGAGCAGTGGACAAGAGAGATCTGCTGTGCCATGTGGTTCACCTCCCTGCCCTGGGCTCTGCAGTGGCTGGCAATAGCTTAATATATCTGAGATTTTAACCTCTGAGCCTCCAGGGAGGCCCCCTAAAGTCAAACTTCATTACATGGGTTCCCCTGGCAACCAGGGGGAAAGTCCCCGTAGGGACTTTCTAAAAGTCACTTCATTACTATTAATCAGATGTAGTTGAAAAGGTCTAATTATGAATAAAAAGCAAGATGTTCCTTTCACCTTTATGGCTTTGGAGTTTCTTCAGGAATTGAGGGCAAAAGCCCAAGAAAGAAAGATGCTCCCTCTCTGGAAATCCCAAGTATTTTGGGAGCTCCGGAATAACCAGGAGAAATCTTTCTGGAAAGACCAAATATATAGTTAAATTACATGGTCATAGCTGGTGTTCTTATTGGTGAAATTTTACCATCAACCACTTTTTAAAAAGATTTATTTATGCCTACAGAACTGGGGTACAGGCCAGGGTACGGTGGGTTGTCAGGTTTCACCAGAGACAGAGTGGGATGCAGAACAGGCAGAATGACAAAGTTGAGTATACATCTCCTTTCTGAGCCTATTTCTTTTCTTTCTTTCTTTTTTTTTTTTTTAAATAAATCCAAATTATGCCCAGTGAAAGAGAAAGAAGAGGAGGTCTATACTGGAAAGAGTGGTTAGGGAAGGCCTGAGAGGTGATATTTTAGCTGAGATCTAAAGAATAAGAAAAGAGGAATGGGTTGAGTTTGAGGCATAGATAATTAATATTCAGTGCACTCATTTGCCTGACTGGCACGAGATACCATAATGTATTTAATTAGCTTCTTAATGTTGGGTATTTAGTTGTTTCCATCTTTTTTCCTTATAATATTAAAATGTCCTTATACATACTTCATTCACACATGTGCACATAGAATAAACTCCAAAAATTTATGCTATGTCAACTGATAAGTGCATTTTATTTATTTGGTGAATTC